AAATTCATGTGACACGAATTAGAAATTTTTTATTTAATATAGAAAATAATTTGAAAGGACATGTCACACGACTGATAGCACATTCATATTTATTTAACTTTATTTAGTAGAGATTAATGATGATTCTCCCAGAATGGGCAGATTTGCTCAAAACATGCGGATTCGCCCAGGTACAAAGTGAGCAAATTTGTGCAATTCGAGCTAATATGTAAAGAACATGTATATAAAGAACTTGATTTTGACCTAATGTAAAAGCAACTTTCTTACAAGTTAATTAGTTTCGACTAAATAAAACTAAATAAATAAAATAGAAATATTTTATTTAAAACTTTTATTTTTAACCAAATTATTTGCTAATAATAAAATCAATTCATTGATCCCCTATTCATTCTGATACACACAAAGCAAAAATAATTGTTATCACCAATTAAAATACACTCCCAAATTTAATCAGTGACAATAGTAATAATAATAATGAAATAATAATGATAACGATAACGAAATAGCAATAATAATTAAATAATAAAAAAATAAGTTTTCACTGATCACCAAATAATTTTTCCATAATAATCATTATTTTTATTTTATATACATAAACACTTGCATCAATTATTATGTCAAAATTGTTATTTGCCATTTATTTTTATTCGTTTATTAGTATCTATACTAGTTTCAAAAATAATTTTGAGCTTCTAAAGGCAATTATAACATGATGTTGACCCAGGTCAAACCTGGGTCAATTAAATCATGACCCAACCTGACCTGTTCGGGTCAACCCGCAGGTTGACTCGGGTTGACCCAACTCGTTTCAGAACTCTACAGGAAATGATGTTTGAAGATGGTACTCCTAAAGGTATGAGGGTAGTTTTAGAAGAAAGAAATTTGTGGAAAGAAGGATTAAAAAAGATTTGCCATGATTGTAAAAATAATATTAATGTTCAACAAAAAAGTGATTGTTGTGAATCAAAGATACTTTATTTGGAGCATGATTTTGCTTCCCAAAAATCTCTACTTACTGAAATAATTGAGAATGCTGGTCACAAGGTAATTTTTATCCAAAATTTCATTGTGAATTGAATTTTATTGAAATGTTTTGGGGAGCAACCAAACAATACACCAGACAAAACTGTAACTACTCATTCAAAGGTCTTAAGAAAAC